CTGGCCACTTTATTAGGTATGACTGTTGAACACTACAGTCTAACCAGCCAATTATATGGCAACAGTTCAGTAGACACGGTCAAAACAGCCTACTGAGACTCAAACCAAGAGTCAGGATAGGGAACAAAGGTCATTTCAATGACTGGTTGTTCAGATATAAGGGAATTTTCCCAGACAACCACCTCTATGGTTTACAGAGGATAGTCCAACAAAAAAAAAAAGGAAAAGCAGGAAAAGGTGATGCCAAGTCTTAAATCATCTCAAAATGGTTCTTTGAACATGACAGTCAGTTCACTCACTTCAAACAGCATCAACCAAGTCTTGATCCAATAGACCAGCACCAGAGGCGTGTAGCTAATGAAATAGCCAGTGAGTGCAGTTGTAATGGCTTATTCGTAAAAGCTGAAAGGTTTTTTTTGTTGTTGTATTTTTTACAGCTTTAATATTTTTTGTGTTTCCAAATTATAATCAAAAACATTTATTTTATATCTACTAATGTTCTTAACTGCTTATCCAATTCATAGTCGCTGGAAAGTGGATCCTACGCAAACTGTCATAGGACAAATAAATTAATTTTGATTTTAACGCTCTAAATCTAATTTCAATCCAATTTTATTTATAAAGCACTTTAAAATACCCAGCACAGGAACAAAGTGCTGTACAGAAACAGCAAAATAAATAAATAAAACACATAAAACATAAAATTAAAACAGCCCTATATTAAAACAAGATAAAACAGCATCGAATCACCTAAAAACAACTGAAATAAAAATAAAAACCAACATCTCACGTGGTGTCAAAGGCCAGGGTACAGAGGTGGGTTTTCAAGAGTGACTTCAAAACTGTGGAACGAGCTTCCTTTAGAGATTAGACAGGCCAGTTCTGTTTTTGAGCTGCTACAGCAAAAGCACGATCCCCTCTAAATTTACGCCCAGTCCTGGGTACATTCAGGAGCAGCTGATCAGCTGACCTGAGAGAGCGGGTGGGTGTATAAGGCTGTAGCAGCTCAGAGAGATACGATGGGGCTAGGCCATGGAGGGCTTTAAAAGCAAATAAAAGAATTTTAAAATGAATCCTAAAAGAAATGGGCAGCCAGTGAAGCGAAGCTAAAACAGGGAAAATGTGCTCAAACTTTTGAGTGCCAGTTAAAAGACGAGCTGCGGCATTTTGCACCCTCTGTAGATGACTAATATATGATGCGCTGACCCCAATATAAAGTGCATTACAGTAATCCAGCAGAGTGCTAACAAAGGCGTGGATCACTGTCTCAAAGTGCTGCCGTGAAAGAATTGGCTTTATTTTTGCAGCTGCCTGAGGTGAAAGAAGCTAGATTTTACCACTGCCTTAATTTGATTATTAAACTTCAGATCACAGTCCACTTTGACGTAACATACTGGGCCAGGGAATCTACATACACATTGGGGGTCTCAGTGGGGCTACCAAAAACCATCACCTCGGTCTTTTTATCATTGAATTTTAAAAAGTTAACAGACATCCAAGCCTTAATGTCATCGAGACACTGAAGTAATGGCTGTGTAAGGTATCTGCCTTTTTTCTTTAGAGGGACATAGATCGGACAGTCATCAGCATAAAAGTGGAAAGCAATGCCGTGCTTTCTCAGTACAGAACCAAGAGGAAGCAGATATAAAGAGAAGAGGAGGGGGCCTAGAACTGAGCCCTGTGGGACACCACACAAGAGGGGAGCGGAGGACGACGCATAGTCACCGAGGCTGACACAGAAAGTTCACCCTGCCAAGTAGGACCTGAACCACTCCAGTGCTGTGCCCCTAATGCCCACCCTGTGCTCCAAACGAGAGAATAAAATGGCATATTCCACAGTATCAGACGCAGCTGTCAAATCTAAAAGCACAAGAACAACACAGTCCCCAGCATCAGTCGCTAAAAATATGTCATTAAAAACTTTTAAAAGGGCTGATTCAGTGCTATGAAAGGGTTTAAAACCAGATTGGAAAACCTCTAACACATTTTGCTTTTCCAGGAAGTTGTAAACTACCTTTTCAAGAATTTTGGAAAGAACAGGTAGTTTGGAGATAGGCCTGTAATTTGCAAGAACCGTATGATCAAGAGCAGGTTTTTTTAATCAGGGGTTTGACTACTGCATGTTTAAAATCTTTAGGGACAACACCTGACATCAGACTATGGTTTACCAGCTCAAGAACCAAAGGACCAACTGTAGGTAACACCTCTTTTGAAAGTCGAGGAGGGACATCATCATTTGGAGACCCTGCAGGCTTAAGATGACCAACAGTCTCCTTTAAAAGGACAGAGTCACAGGCTCAAACCTGTCAAAGACAGAGCAGGAAACAGAGACAGAGGTCATGAGCACAAGGAGAGATTTGAGCCCTTGCGGAGGAGACCTTCTCAATAAAAAAAAGTGTAAAAAATTTTCACAAAAGAAAAACATCTACTACAGACTGCTGTGGGAATCATGTACGTCACTGCTCTCTCTATGCTGCTGCTAAATGGGCAATCACTGTATATCAGACTTTCCCATTGGTTGACTTCTATCTAAATCTCTCTTTTTTGCAATTTATGTAGCTACTTTGCACTTAATGCATACATATTATTAAAATTTGGACTATGATGTTTGTATTGATGTATAGCAACCTGTAATGCTCCCGAAAATGGCACTACAGCATGTAAAAATGTAAAGATAAGCTCTGGCGGACCTGGTTCTATGGTAGTTCTTGAAGGGTTAATGAATCAAGGGTACAGAATTGGAGGAACCAAGAAGAATGAGTTGAGTATAGTTTGACTTATCTGACTGTTTTGCTTCGCTTAATGCGCCTTATAGTCCGGTGCACCTTGTAGTGAGAAAAATACGGTAATCATAAGGAACTGAATTGTCAGAAATAATTATTCAAGTTCAAGTCCATTTTAAACGAGCAAGACAAAGGAGCAAGTGATTGTTTCAAGAGCAACATTAAAAACAATCTGCTATTGCATATTATTCACTTATATTTGGTTTTTTACTTGTTATATTGTTATGTGTAGGGATGGGTATCGTTTAGGTTTTATCCGATACCGGTGTCAAATCGGTACTTTTGAAACGGTGCTGGTGCTTAAACGGTGCTCGAACCGGTGCTTAAAGAATGGAGAACACAAAATTGGTCCAAAAACCTCTCATGTTCAGCTGGTTCATCAGGCCATCAGACTGCTGAACACGTCATAGACACCTCAGCTTCACTACTGGAACTTTAACATTATGCACTCCATACTGTACAGTAATGCCACTGTTTTGCACATGTCTCAACTCTGTATATTTTATATATTTTATTTATTGTTTACTCTATTTCATTTGTAAAATATGTGTACACACACACACACAGGAAAATATTTACTATACAAATCCAGAAATGCATATACTATTATATATTGTACATATATTTATTAGTTTCAGATGTAGCCATTCTTGTATTTTCCTTGTTTACATTATTGTATTTTGCACAACTCTGTTGCTTGTGAAGCTCGCACACAAGAATTTCACTCACATGTGCTGTACCAATGTACCTGCACATGTGATGTGACAATAAAAGTGATTTGATTTGATTTGGTTTTTGTAAAAAGATAACAATGTTAGCCTTTTCTGCAGCTATAGGGCATATATGGTATCACTCTTGGCTGGAAGCAGTGCTTAATCAATGGAAAAAACACAAACTTTGTCCAAAACCTCTCATGTTTAGCTGTTTCCCTCTTTTTCTTTGGTCATTTTAGCCTTTTTGGCCAGGGTGAAGGGAGCATCTGCCATCAAACAAGAAGACAGCCGCATGTAGCTATGATGATGTTTGCTAGTTCACCTTACATGCATTAATGTAATAACGTGGTTAGCCTACTCAACGTAAACTACTCACGCAGAGAAGAACGGCTGCTGCTGCTGCATCATCATCCGTCATCATTTCTGCTACACTGGCAGGGCTAGGGGCCAGGACTCTCCTCTTCGTGTTTTTGGGTATGTTGCTAACTCCGGGTCCGATAACAGGCACCACACCGCAGTAGATGCGCTCGGTGTGAGGTCTCGCAGCAAGCTATCAAATACAGCGCATTTCTTGGTTTTTGGAGAGAGAGAAAACGCTATGCGTCGCCAGGTGTTTCATCGGATTTGAGGAGTTACCTCCTTTGACAGTATCAGCTTAAAGCACTTGTTGCTGCTGAGTTTGCATCTTTTGCTGTGAAGTACAGCCAGACTTTTGACCGCTTCGCCTTGGGCATTTTTAATCTGTAGCTCTGCATAAAAGAACGTACGTACCTGGCCCCGCCTACTATCCTCGGAAACGTAAAATGATTGGCTAGAAGTGTATCACAGCTCAGGAAAAAAAAGCACCGAAATAAAGCACCGAAATGTGCGCTGCTTTTCGGTCTGGTTACTACCGTTTATGTCAGAACCGGTGCCATGACACCGGTACCCATCCCTAGTTATGTGTTGTATTTGTTGCACCTTTCTCCCAGGTCTCCCTTGGAAAAGAGATTTTAATTTCAATGAGAATTTTTACTTGGATAAATAAAGGATAATAAATAAAAACTTCTACTGTTGTATGTAAAGCTGGATATCACTCAGGAAGGAGAAAGCTTTAGTGAGCTATCCGATTGGTTGGCATGACCCTGAAAAAAAAATATGCTGACAGTCTGAGGTTTTTGGACACTTACCCACAATTAAGACACAACTGCCACATTGAAAAGAAAAAAAAACTCCATAGTCTTTCAGAGCCTAAGTATTGTTTTGTATTGTGCTATATTGTTAAAGCTCATTTTTATGGGTTAAGAAATTGTTTCATGTTCTTGTTTTTAATTCAAATGAAATCAAAACAACTTATTATTACAGGCTCAGATGACTTTGAATAAAAGTATGATATGGATAACCCATTCACCTAAATCAATACTTCAATCAAAAGAGTAAATCATTAACAAGATGCTTCCTGAGACTTTGTTTAAACAACAGCTAATACATGTGTTGGAAAAAAACAATGGTTGAACAAACGTACCTGGCCCAGGATGCCGCCGAGCAGACTCCACGTGGCTTGGCCTTCACTTCGCAGCTTTCCATTTGCATTCAGCAGTTCCTCCAGAAACTCACAGAGCTGGAGGGAGACAAATGGAAACAAACTGTGGCCCTGATCATATAACATGTGATAATTTTTTTCCCTTTCTAATAAACCTAAAGAATAACTGTTTTGAGTAAGAGGAAAAAAGTTGAATCCATAAGCATTTACCATTCACAAGGATGAAACAACAATATAAACATCGGTCTCAACCTGTGTGTTAGCTGGGTCAGGAATAGAATCCTTTTTTATTGTCACTGTACATGTACAACGAAATTGCTTCACTCCAACTGTTCAGGTAGAAAATATAAATAGTACGACAGCAGGAATATTTAACAAACTTGAGAAACATAAAAACATGAGAGCTATATACAAACAGGAGGAAGGCACAGTATAGAAAAGGCGCACATAAAAAGAACAGGTTGTGGTACGAGGCTAACCTAACTAAGGTCAAATTCAATTTTTTCAAATTTCAAAAACAGACCAACTTGTCTCTTATTCGTCTCAAACTAGGGAATGTAAAACATTTGATCTTCCATCCATCAGTAACCTAAAGAGTAATGATCATTTTGATTGGTTTTTTTCATTTTAAAGGTTATCAACCTAACTAAACAATTCTCCTAGAAACTAGTCAAAGGAGCTTGCAAAGAAAAGCGTCTGGACTTCTTTAAGTTACTTGAAGACGTTTCACCTCTCATCCAAGAAGCTTCTTCAGTTCTAAGGTCAAATGGTGGAGAGTCCCAGATATAAACCTAGTGGGAGTTTCCCCCCACAGAGGGACAAAAGGACCCCCTGATGATCCTCTAATCGCCTGAGCCAAGGTGTGAAACTGGGTGTGGGTCCCAATCAGCCAGAGTTTCGGGTGAGTTCATTGTGAAACCTGGCCCCACCTTATCATGCGAATGATTCGCACACTTTTCTTTGCAAGCTCCTTTGACTACGATGACCTGGATGACTGAGAACCTTCACAGACTCCTAGAAACTAATTAGGTACTGCCATACATGTGACTGGGAGTAAAAGGGCAAGAAAGAGTTGTCCTGTGCATCCTTTCATGTTTTCCAGGCCATTTACAAGTTTGGCCAGGAGCTTAATACACCATGCTAAGCAATGTTCTTAAGAGACAACCCCCTCTATGGTTTAAATACCTAGGAACTGAAGAGGTCTCTTGAATGAAAAGTAAAATGTCTTCACAAAACTTAAAGAAGTCCAGTAGCTCACATGTTCCCATTATGTAAAAAGTGAACGATAACAATTTGACAAGCATACAATTGAATTTCTTCCCCAAGGAGGTGTTTCCTGAAGAGCTGTTAGCCAGACCTTTTGTGATATGTGCACAATGACCATGCTAACGTTCTGTGGCACGTGAACATCAATTTTGCACTCAAATATAAACAACTGAAACTGTTTCATACTATCACTGCATATGATTTGCAACTGGTAACCCCTTTGTCCAGGTTAACGCTGTACTGTTCTCCACTAGTGTCCATTAGTCAAAGCTTAACTTGTAATGGTATTTTCTCCAAAGCCCAAGCCATCTGACAGCAACTCAGGCAGTGCAATTAGCAATACACACTCCATTAATAACGCTTAACATGCATGGCAGAAGACTGAATGCAACATTAACTCTGACTTCTACTTCGCCATTGTATTCCCTTCCTCATGCTGACAGACGGAGTGTGGCAGGCTTACTGCAGAGGTCATATGTCTGAAGAGAAACATGAAGGCTGCACACAGAGAACTCCTAAATTCAACCTTCTCTCATGGCACAACAAAGCTTTAAAATCCATTAAAATGGTTTAAAATGTGTTGAAAGATTTGTACAACTGAAGTTCAAGTTTACAAATACTGGTATCCACTGTTGACTCCCCTCAGCCTCCTAGTAGTCGGCATAAATACGCTGGGTGCCTTAATTCTTGAGTTATCGTATTCACAAGATTTATTTTTAGAAAACGTCAGATAATCTCTGACCTTGATTCAAACTCGACTGAGATTTTTAGTAGATGCGCTAAAATAGCACGACTGTGAATCCTAGGTGAATTCCTTCCTGCAATATCACACTCACAAGATTTTCAGAAACGACATCTGACCTTGAGGTGAAGGTCACTGAAATTCAACGAGATTTTTAGTACAACTTTTACAGCTGAGGGGTTAAAAAAAAGAAAGAAGACTGAAAACGCTTAACCACCTGCTTTGATAATATCACTACATTTTTTTCACCACATTCATTTTAATGTTTCCTTCAAGCAAACCTTTTGGAAAGATGTACCTTTTTTGGTGTGTTGCTTGGACACTATTCAGTATATTCAGTTTTTTGCTACCACAACAACATCACTTTCTCCATGAGAAAACCTGCATATATTAATGAAATGGGCCCATGTGAGCAGTCAATATGAACAGCAATGTCAGCTGTTGACTAAAGCTTTGTTCTTTCTAAACTTGAAATCAGATCAAATCACTCCACCATCATTCCATGTACATCGGTGTATCCATCCCAGATTCAAACTTCCACTGAGGATTTTACAATCAGTCAACATGTGAGTGGAGTATAGAAATTCGACATTTTACTACAGTACTACATTAAGTGTTAACGAATCACAGCCTTTTTTATGCAAAGTCCCTCAATTTCAGAAGCTCAAAAGTAACTGGTTAGTTAACCTCAACCTGTTCTGTCATTATGCAACGACAGACAAAAGAACGGAAGATTGTTCAAAATGTTAAACTTGTGTTTGGCAGTTGATTACTGGAATCTTAAAATGAGGTCCAAAGAGATGCTAAAGCATTTAGCGTCATTTAGGACAAGTTCAATATTCAATATGATCAATCTGTATATATTTATAGATTTCATAATTTCCTTGTGTGACCAATAAACTTCATCCATCTATCCCATAATTCAGTCTGTAATTGAGATTTTGCAAGAAGTTGCACACTACTGATGGCACTCAAAAACAGAAGTACAGATTACAGTTTGCCTGGAAATAACTAAGAACATTAACCTGTACCAGAATGATGAGAAGACATATTAGTACGGAAAAGAAAATGAACAGTTCATTGTCTAAAACAGACCTTACTGTCTGTCAAATATGCTGCAAGCAACATTAAGACATGGGCACGTATATCAGGTCACTGCTGCAGATAAAAGTAGCAGTAAAACTTTTCTGTTGTTTCTGCACTAAAGGATTTCTTTTTGAAACTAGCGTATAAATTAAACTAATTTTTAAATATAGCAATTGTGTTTGAACTGTGTCACTCACCTTGTTATACTCGACGTGTAGTTTTTCTTGTTCATTCTCCAGCTTATCTTTAAGGTTTTTCTGCTCTGAAATGTTATCCTGGATCTGGATCATTCTCATGTTCCGCTCTGAGTAGTTTTTTTTTTTTTTTTAAAAAGGAAGAAAAGGGGGATACAAAAAGTGATTAATGAAGTTAAAGGAGCAGAAGAGGCAATGTTGGCAAATGATGCTACATTAGGTTCTAAAGGATAACAGAAGAATGGTGGAGAAGGAAAATATAAATCTAGTACAACTGCTGCTTTTTCAATGTAGGCTGACTACATAAAAGCAATAACACCATCGCTACCACATTTAATGATACATACAGTGGCTTGCAAAAGTATTCGGCCCCCTTGAACTTTACCACATTTTGTCACATTACAGCCACAAACATGAATCAATTTTATTGGAATTCCAGGTGAAAGACCAACACAAAGTGGTGCACACGTGAGAAGTGGAACGAAAATCAGACATGATTCCAAACATTTTTTACAAATAATAATAATAATAATAATAATACATTTTATTTAAATAGCGCCTTTCAAAGCACCCAAGGACACTGTACAACAGATAAAAACTGGAAATATACACAATGATAAAAATAGAAGATAAAAGTTAAAACATACAGAAATTTAAGAATAGGCAATTTTAAACAGATGACTTTTGAGGGTGGACTTAAAAAGAGAGAATGAACTAATATTTCTGAGGTAGGGAATTCCAAAGTCGAGGGGCAGGGCAGCTAAAGGCCCTCCCTCCCATTGTGATCAGACGAGCAGAGGGAACAGAGAGAGAAAGAGAAGATGAAGATCTGAGGCAGCGGGATGGGAGCTTCATCTGTAATAAGTCAGAGAGGTACGGTGGAGAGAGAGAATGAATAGCCTTGAATGTATACAGAATTATTTTAAAATGGATGCGAAATTTGACCAGGAGCCAGTGAAGTTGCTTCAGGATTGGGGAGATGTGGTGGGTAGAAGAAGTCCTAGTAATAATACAGGCAGCAGAGTTCTGGACACGTTGGAGCTTGTTGATAGATTTTTGTGTAAGGCCCAATAATAATGAGTTGCAGTAGTCACTTCTAGAGATAACAAGATTATGGATGAGAATGGCAGTGGCGTGAGGTGTGAGGAAGGGGCGGAGGCGATTAATGTTACGGAGTTGGAAATATGCTGCACGTGTAATATTATTGATATGTGAGTTAAAGGATAATGTGCTATCGAGAATGACACCCAAGCTTTTCACAGAGGGAGAGATAGGGACCAGCGAGTTATTGATGGTGAGAGAGAAATTGTTAATTCTGGATAGCAGTCATTTAGTGCCAACCAGAAGAAGTTCCGATTTATTGCTGTTGAGTTTAAGAAAGTTGGAGGAGAACCAAGAATTAAGTTCAGCTAGACAGAGGATGAGGGAGGGTGGAGGAAGAGTAGAGTCAGGTTTGGTAGAGAGATAGAGCTGGGTGTCATCGGCGTAGCAGTGGAACTGAATATTATATTTAATGGGAAGATGGATGGAGCCACATACAGGGCAATCGTGGAAGAAAACCTCTTCTGGAAAAGACTTGAGACTAGGGCGGAGGTTCACCTTCCAGCAGGACAACGACCCTAAACATAAGGGTCGTTGTCCTGCTGGATTATGTTTAGGGTCGTTGTCCTGCTGGAAGGTGAACCTCCGCCCCAGTCTCAAGTCTTTTGAGCCAGGGGCCAGGGCAACAATGAAATGGTTTAAAACAAAACACATCCATGTGTTAGAATGGCCCAGTCGAAGTCCAGATCTAAATCCAATCGAGAATCTGTGGCAAGATCTGAAAACTGCTGTTCACAAATGCTTTCCATCTAATCTGACTGAGCTGGAGCTGTTCTGCAAAGAAGAATGGGCAAAGATTTCAGTCTGTAGATGTGCAACGCTGGTAGAGACAGACCCTAAAAGACTGGCAGCTGGAATTGCAGCAAAAGCTGGTTCTACAAAGTATTGACTCAGGGGGCTGAATAATTACGCACACCCCACTTTTCAGTTATTTATTTGCAAAAAATGTTTGGAATCATGTTTGATTTTCATTCAACTTCTCACGTGTGCACCACTTTGTGTTGGTCTTTCACCTGGAATTCCAATAAAATTGATTCATGTTTGTGGCTGTAATGTGACAAAATGTGGAAAAGTTCAAGGGGGCCGAATACTTTTTGCTAGCCACTGTAACAGTGTTAAATCCATGCACTGCAGACACACAATCACTATCTAACTTAATATGCATGTCTTAGGACTTTTGGAGAACATCTGAGTAACTCGAGTAAACTCATGCAGGTATAGTGAATACACGCAAACGGCACACCTTTCTGCTCATGACATCAAGAAACTTTCAAATTTCTCCTAAACTGCACTGCAGTGCTTTGCAGTTTTCTAATCTCAGTGTTTTCTTCTTTAGTATCAATTTCACTCACAACAAACAAGGAGCTTCTAAAAGAATTGCTGCGAAACATTTTCTCACTGTTCTCAGAGACCCACCTACTTTAGCTGGTAAAGTGAAATAGCAGCATAATAATTAACACTTGACACAAAGCAACAGAACAGCGTAGAGCAGAGATGACACAGTTTCCTCACCCAAGTAGTAGTTGACAAAGTCTGCTGTGAGAGCAGGCTGCTTGTGTTTCCTGCGTCCATCCATGCTGGCACTGGTATCAGATGTGTCCACAGGGAAAATGTCAGTGCTGATGCCCATCAGTTCAGCCTTCCTCATCAACTTTCTGATAGCTGAGGCGCTAGAGGTCAGAGGTCTTGGCAGTTTTTCCCGGGGTACCCATGCCTGAGGACGAGTGTTTCTGGACAGCTCAGCTTTTGCCCTGTACTGCTGCAAGCGAGTAGTGATTCGGGCCTGCAGGTGGGACACATACAACCACTTTGCTATTAGAAACAGGATATATTGTGCTCTGTTCTACTTTTAGTATATATAAGTAGCATCTACTTTCAAAAGAATTTCACACAACACGCTGTTAGGAAACACTGAATTGTGGAAACCAGTTCAGCCCATCGTTTTTTGCCCATTTGCACCGTCATCTTGAAGGAGGAAAGAGACTACGAAAGTACTAACACAGGGTGCTTCTTACAGTGTGGATGTGACATACATGCAGTGCTCTGCTTGCTCAGTGTTCTGGTTAAAGACAGTTCTTTATGACTATGCCTGGGAGTTTGTGCTCCTCATGCTAAGCACTGTATATGTGCAATTGTATTTACATTTGGGGACAATGAAAATTTCACATGCTGTCCCTCACACTTGCTTATAGTGCCTAAATTTTGTTAACTGGGACTTTTAGTGTGCCTGTCAATCTGATATAACCATGCAGTCACATTTAGACCACCTACAACAAATACAAAACTGTGATCTAATATAAGTTCGATCAAGGGCCACCTCAAAGTACAGACCAAAGAACTGAAAAGTAAGGGCAATAGCAATGAGCAGAGTGATTTCTACATTTTCTTGGAGTCAGGTGCTAAACTATCCGTGTCAGCTCAACGTGACGCTGCTGTGTGGGGATCGCCTCCCTCTGTCCCAAACCTATTCCTTTTGTGTGCAGGTTTATTAACAGTTACAGGAAAACTGTAGCATTTCTTAAACTTGTTTTAGGGTAAAATATTATTTCGAAAATACACAATTTATCTCACCCATCCAAACTGTCCTTTGTCATTTAGACTAAACATAGTGCATGTTTTTAGTATAGATGGGATGGGTCAAACAATCCTTACCTGAGCTTCGGGAGTAAGCTGTCTCTCTCTCTCCTGCAGAGAGACTTTACAATAAGACTGTAAGGCCAGGTAATTCTTCCTTTTCCACTTTCTGTCAAAGCGGTCTGCATGCTGTTTGCAGTATGCAAAAAATGGGTCCGCGATATCCTGAGGAAATAAAGAGCACTCATGGGAATTAACAGTTAAGATAACTGGTGGGAAAACAGGTATTAATAGCCTGTAAAGCTTTTACCACGTTGAACTTTCAGAACCTGCCACTCACTAAAGTGAAAAATCCAGCTGAGGCAGAAGCAGTGCTTTGCAGCTGCTGACTTCCTACAGTCATCTGTGTGCAGTCTGTTGTAGTGGAGGATTTGTAGCTGATTAACTGGATTAGGCTGCTGCAGTGAACAGGCATTTTTCCAAATACTTGTGTTATATGAATTTTATTTGTTTTGCTTGGTGGACTGCAGTGACAATATTCCAAAAGAACTTCATTAATAGTCGTTATCAATCAAATCTGTCACTCGCTAGTTTGATTTCTCCAAGTGGTAGATGCTTTATTGACAGAAGCTGTGTAAAGGAGGTGAGGAAAAATAAAATAAAATTAGTGGATTCTTTCTCGGCTTGATTTTACCGCTTCTCTCACTTCATACATTGGTTAAAATTGGTCTATTGGTATTATTATAGTAATATTCATAAGATAAATTATTTGGGGTTTTTTTCATAAAGGGAACCAAGTGTGGTAAAAAAATAAATAAATAAAATTGGTGGCACTGTGGTAAGAGCAGAAAAGTCCTCAAGGGTACAAGATCGTCATGGGTGTGGGGCTGCAGGTATCGATTTCTTTAGTAATCGAGTAATCTTTCAATTATTCCATGGATTAATTGAACAAGAAATGAGCAATAATAAGCATTCACAAAAATCACAGGTATTTAAGAATAAACTGCTCATTGGTTTCTATTTGAGAAATTGTAATGTTTTAAAGTTCAACTGCAAAAACTACGAAATCCTTAGTCGTCAAGTTCTGATCAATTCCCATCCCTACTGTATACATGACTAATATATAAATAATCTCAAGTACAGGCAAAGTCAAAAAAAAGAAGATATATTATCATTTATTATGGCATAGCATATATATTGCACATATATTGCATATATATTGCATATATATGCAATTTAGACTATGCCATAACTATGCCACAACTTTTACCTTTACTCTTTCTTTTTGGAAGGCATTAAGAGGGGTTCTGACAGCGTTTTATCTACTAGATGAAGTAGACAGTGTGTGTTCATGTGGATTATTTTTTTTGCATGTGGATCTACGTGTCCACGTGAATGAGTGAGTTTGTGTTTGTAAGTATTTAAAGTATGAGTATGAGGAGTATGTGGCGTCTCCAATGAAGAAAAGCGAGTATGAGCATATGATGCAAAATCTTTGTGCTGCTAAAAACAAGAAGTTATGACTTAAAGTAGACATGATATTAGTATTAATTCAGTGTCCAACCATTTTCATGGACTTGTGAAGAAAACTTGTATTTTTACTTTTAAACATTAATCTTATTTATTTAACCATAATATATTATATTATTTCACTTTCAATCTGAAAAAATGTTGGAAGGTATCTTTGTGTAAAATAGGACGGTCAGCAAGCTGTATAATTTAAACACGGTCTCAGACCAAGTTAACAGTTCATCTGCATATTTTAATAAATAAACTTCTGGAGGCTTACTGTAGATTTTTCTCTGTGTAAAACAAACAGCGGTGGATGGAGCAGCTACAAAATTACAGACATTAACCTTCAATGTAAAGGATCTAAAGTGTGGTTAAAGGGAAACCAAAGTTGTAGTCATTTTATCTGATGATTTTAATTTTATTTTAAATTGTCTCTCAATTGTAATTGTATTTATGATGTAATTTGGTTTTATGAAAATGTTTTATTGTAATATGTATTTATTTAGATTGTTAGCCCAACAAGGGACAATTGTTGAAAATTAGCAGTAGCTATAAACCTATGTGCGGTACATCAGTCTCATGTCTTTCACTTGAACTATGTTTAACTGCACTGTCCCTTTTAAATATCCATCCATCCATTCGCTTCCGCTTATCCTTTTCAGGGTCGCGGGGGGCGCTGGAGCCTATCCCAGCTGTCATAGGGCGAGAGGCAGGGTACACCCTGGACAGGTCGCCAGTCTGTCGCAGGGCCAACACACAGGGACAGACAACCATTCGCACTCACTCGCACATTCACACCTAGTGACAATTTGGATTAATCAATTAACCTATCCCCACAAGCTGCATGTCTTTGGACGGTGGGAGGAAGCCGGAGTACCCGGAGGGAACCCACGCAAACACGGGGAGAACATGCAAACTCCACACAGAAAGACCCCGGCCTGATGGTGGAATTGAACTCAGGACCTTCTTGCTGTGCGGCAACAGTGCTAACCACCGTGCCACCATGCTGCCCTCCCTTTTAAATAAATAAATGAATTCAAAATTCAAAATTTGCTTTTCTTCACATCAGCGTTCGTTAATCAGGTGCTTTGATCAAGGACTCCTGCTCACTTTTGTCCCAGTAAAGGTTTAAATGGTGATCACAGGGAGGATGCTGGAAACACATTTTTCTTTCATTCAACCTGAGCTCACATCTCTGTAATGGCTCCTCCTCTTTGCTGCGTGTAAACAGACTCCAGCTCCATGTTAAACTGCCAGAGTCATCATCACTGCTGCTGTTGTGTTATTAATGTTTTTGTTTAAAAAAACAAAACAAAAGAAAACTGCAGGCTGTGCGGGCTTAATGTTGTCAAACTTTTTATTCATGCACTGCTCCTAAATATGTTTGTATTGCAGATTTCGCAAATGTGGGTGAAGCACTTGCGTTTACATAGTTTAACACATCTGCACGCTGCAGAGCCGTTTGTTAAAAGAAGCATCGAAGGCTGAATCGTTGCATCCCCAGATGGATGGTTCAAACGCAGGGCAAGAGGTTCAGTTTAGAGACCTCCAGGAATCAAGGAAACTTTATTTTATTTTTTCACTTTTTAGTGACATTTTGGTTTAGTTATGATGGTTTTTGCAGCAACAGGCATAGGTTGTGCAAACCCAAGACCAAACAGTTGTTTTTTGTTCTGCCAGTCACTACACATATGCTGCTTACAGTTTCAACAGCTAACACCGCTTTGTTTAACAGGTGACTGTTATTGAGCTGACAAATTTATAGCATCAAGTTCACTTCCTAGTCTTTTGTTTGTTGGTTTGTTTTAAGAGCTGCACAGCCAATAGTCATTACACAAAAAGTCATAATTCTTTGCTGAGCAGACTAATGTATTATTGAATTTAAAACATCCTTTTAACACTTCTGACATGACAACCACTGAAGCTAAATTAATAAACGTATTTGTACGGTGCAAATGACATATCAAGAATCAACTGTTACCAATCAACCACCCAAGTATTTAAATGGAAAATATCTGCATATTCATGGACTCTTCATTTCTCTGAGGGAAGAACGTTCACTAATAATGCTGGTTTCGTTAAGCTGCCAACAAGGTCGCCCTACCTCCTCCGCTGCAGCCTCAGACAGAAGCCCCTCCCTCTGTGCACAGGTGACGTGGAAGTAGGATCGACACATTCCTGCATCACAGCTGATACACACACCAGTCCTGGCAAAACGGGCATCCTCACAGAAACTGCACTCCTGCTCATAACAAAAATAACACATAACATTTTTTCATTTTTCAAAAATGCCAGTATGCAACTGTTTCACTGTTAACCGGTTTTCATTTTGACAGATATTTTGGATTATCTACTGAAATTCTGACGCTTCCATGTGAATTTCTACTTAAGCTGCTTTCAGGTTTTACATGATAAATCAGCCTCACCTTAACGCTTGTATTTAGCACAATTACCTCGCTTATACATCAGTTCAGACTGACGAAACTTTAGCTGAAAAGCTCTAAAGCCGAATTTCTCAAACTTGTTCCTTGGAACTTTGCCCCCACTAAGTGCCTTCTCAACAGGTAACTTCAGCAACTTTAGGGGTGGAACGTGCCACTTTTAAATTGTGCCCCATTACTGATCATAATGATTACTGTAAGTAGAGCATCTTCGGTGTTTAATCAGTTTTGCTGCGAGAAAAATGTCTGAATACAGCCTCTAGTTTATGGGCGTCAAACTCAGCCCTCTCTGATCATAAGTGGGCGGGACCAGTGAAACTCTCCTTTCTGTCAATGTAAAGAAGTTACAAATGTAACTTTTTCTACATCATAAAGAAAAAGATGCTGTGACAAAAAGATTCGTCAGCATGATGCAAGATTACAGAAAAAGTTCTGGCAGCTCATTACAAAGACTGTCCAGTTTTTCTTTTTTTTCCTCAATGAAAATAAAATTGGGCTTCACTTTAGCCACCTCCTAATTTTAGAAATTCACTAATATCATTGAAATGCAGCCAGATGCTGCTCATTTTATATTTTCGCCCATTTCTTCATTTTTTCCCCGACAAGCTTGCGTTTAAATCTGGCTTGCAGGTCTCGCCGTGTAACTGCCTGTACCACTACACTTGCTGTCTTCCGAACACCTGCCCCCCTCCTCCTTTCACTAATGGTACGACCCCAGTCTTTGCACGGATTGGCCTCATGGCCGATAAACACTATTTACATTGAAATTCATCTTCATCAGTGAGCAAAAAGAGAACTTGCCTTGGCCCCATATTTTGAATAATTCATCTCTGTGAGTGTTACTGGTCGCAACTTATCAATGTCTCCAAATGCCACTCCAGGAACATAAAGGGCACAAACCACATGCACCCACCTGAAAACATCAAAGAATAAAAGCAAAATTGGTGAACAAATGGTACGAAGAATGGTAGAAAAATCCAGAATTGGAAATGGCTCAGAATCAAGTAGCATTTTAAACATTTCGACTCCTGGATGCTGATTTCACAAAAAGCTGTGAACTGATAAATCATGGCTATGGTTTATTTTTGCATTTAATGTAGAGAATTTGTGTAGACAATAAGACACTTAATATCATGAAACTAGTTTCTCAGATACTCAAAAAGAAATTGACTCATAGATTTATGTAGGCCCAGACTCATGCTACAGTTTGGTGTGAGACAGTTTCAAATGTGGACTTTAGGCAAGAGAATCCAAAGTCCAATATAAAGATATCCATCTCTAGCAAGCAACCGCTTCACAGTTTAATTTGCTGTGTTTTTCATGCTCTACTGAAGTAGTAAATTCGTGTGCAGCCTGGCTGAGGAGCACTATCAGCGATAACGTGGCTGAAGTCTCCACGCTTCACATAACACAGTCTTTTCTCTCACTCTTTTTCTTCCTCTCTTTTCTCCTCCCTCCATTCCTCCAACAGTTCTATTTTCCTTCTTAATCAAACCTGCTTTTCTCCTCAGCACTGAATATATAACACAGTTCAGACAGTCTTTGGATCCCTGCAGCATTTTGAATAGCACAGATCATTAGCTGTTATTTGTTTCTGAACATGTTCCACTTGCTTCTAAATGGCAACTGACCACCAGGTCATTGTGCCACTGTATCCCACCTCCCAGCATCCGTCTCTTTGAAGATGCCATCCTGGTTTGGGCATAGCTCACAGCTGGGAGTCACTCCATTCTTGCAGGCATCACAGAACCAAGGCTCTGTTGAATTCTCAGAGGCCGAGCTCATAATCGAGTCACTCTCGCCGTCCACACCGTAACACCCTGGAAGCAAAGACCAGTATTAACCTTACTGAACAGTCATCCCATTCAAATGAAAACTGCTCCTGTGAGCCACAGCGTGCAACACATGTGGTAGATGCGAAGCTGTGCCATAGAGGTTAGAGGTTTGGAGTAAAAAAAAAAAAAAAAAGATAATTTTGCATTACTCTGTAACATGGTCTGAGATCCACTGACACATCATTAGCATTTAATAATATAAACCTTAGGCTACACATTTACTCTAGCACAAATTCCTAACCTAATCAGGGCACAAAATATGTTTCTTTGAGAGAACCAACACAAAGACAGCAAAGGTGAAACTGTGGACTAGTCCAAATAGCAGCTCACAGCTATAACTTCAGTGATTCTACTGTGGAAATTACCACAAGCAGAAATTAAGGTTACAACGTGACTGCTAATCACTGCTTTTGTTTCCTGATGAAAAATCAGTCCCTGGCTGGGCTTTGCATACAGTCAGTTTTCACATCATACTGAGATTATCTATTTCCTTTATGTTAACATTCTGTTTTTGCACATCCTTGTAGATTCAATTCTGATTTTTTTTTTTTTTTTAAATGACAGGCTCAGTATGCACTTTACCGTCACATTCCTGACGCTTCCCACAGCAAAAAATAAAAGTAATGTCCTCAAAAGCTAACTTGGCTATTTTCCTCCTCTGCAATGAGCTGAAGTCAGCGCAAGTGGAGCAAGTGCAGTACACTACTGCATTACAGAACAAGCTCCTTTGATTAAAGTAATGTATAACTCTAAAACACCTTACACCAAACACTGCCCATGTGACATATCTCTATGCCTTTTGCCTTTATTAAGACACAAATGTAAACAATGTAAAAAAGGGAAACGGGTTCACATGCCAACTAACAGAGGAGCTCCAAGGACACACTGACAACGTCTTTACTTGCTTCACTTTGGCAGAGCAGCTCCTCAGATTAGGGCTGTTCCATATAATGATATATATTGAATGACGATATAAAAACGTCTATTGTTTCCTATTACACTATCGTTTGTTTTGTGGTGTCGTAAAATAAACAGTTTACAGCAATATTTTTTCATCGTTTTGATGGTCACTGTAGTGGCTATATTAATTTCTTAAAGTTCTCTCTTTCTCTTATATTTAA